TGGTTCCCGCATGGAAGACGTCTCGCGGCCGCAAAAGGCAACTCTCCCTGTTCGCCGGTTTACGAGGCGGCAGCCTCGAGGCGAGCATAACGAGCACAATGCAAAACGGCTTCTTTAGCTTTTCCATCTTGATCGGTTTAACCCCCCCGGGGTGGGCGAATCCAATAAAAATCGGCCTCGCCATGGGAAAGCGGCGTTTACGCACGCATAAAAGTAAATATAAAGCGCGGATCCTTCTGGGACGTTAGCCATCACGATCCATCGCGACATCATTCCTCGTTGTTCGTTCTAACTATCTATTTCCTTCGTGTCTTCTTCCTTTCTTTCTTTTTCTTTTTCATTTCCTCTTCCTGTGTATTTTAATTTGATGCCTCGTTGGAGCAGCGAACATTTGAGAGAATCAAGATTTCAATTCGACTCGAATGGTAATTCGAGAATTACTGTAGTTTGACGATCTTGATCTTTCCTTGATCTTAATCGAACCCTTCACTACCGATGAATTAATTGCAGCGTAATAATTCAGAATATTTTTTTTCTATTTGGAAATGTTGGAATGCTGGAGCACATCATTCATTCGATTTTAATGATAAATCGAAGATCGCTTCACTGAATATACACACCACAAAGAGTTAATAAATGAATAATATTTGACTGTATTATATTACAATAGGATTCTGTGCTCTTCATTTCTATTCAGCTATCCGAAGAAATGGAGTTTCAAGAACTTTCGATAATTGTTTAAACCATTTAGAAATAGATCCAAATTTTGTTTTCACTTTCGTTTATTTCTTTAGCTAGTGAAATTGTGCGCATTGCAGAATTAAAGGAGATTTTAATTTCGTCAATGTTTTGTTAACATCAATAAAGTAAATTTGCAAGCACTTTGTCAATTCCGTGCTAAAAGCTGCTTCTTAAAGAGAGAGAGAGAGAGAGAGCAATTAATTACTTTAACAAAAAAAGAAACACACGCATCGCGAAAGATTCGAAGCATAAATTTCTCTCAATTAAGCTGCACACGGTCGAAACGAAATTTAATTTAATTTCCAAGTGGAGAAGCTACATGTAATTTTGCGAGATGAACGAAAGCATCCGTAGCCAAGTAACCACCGCGTATTAACCTTTAAAGCCGAGCTACCATTCCATTTTTTCCCTATCTCATCTCGAAAAACAAGACCAAGAAAGAATGTGTGGTAAAAGTGGAAATATTCCTACGCTAATTACGAAACGATATCATCCATTCTCTGTCGAGTATGTTCGCTCGTCAGAATCAGAGGATGTAAAAAGAGAAATTCAGTAAAAAAAAAAAAAAAAAAGGAAGGTACACAATTTTCAATTATTGAAAGTAGAAGCGAGGAAACGAAGAAAGAAAGATATTTCTGCCCCAATTAACGAAACGACATCATCCATTCTATCGATTATCTTCGCATCTAGGAACCAATGGATGTGAGAAAAAAAGAAAAAAAAATTCGGGGAAAAGAAGCATGGAATTTTCAACCTCTACAAAAACAAAAAATAGCAAATAAAGAGAGAGAAATATTTCTATTCAGTCGATATTTCAGTACAGAAATGATACCATCGATTCGATCGGTTATTTCCGCATGCAGAATCAGAGGATGTGAAGAGAGAAATTCACGGAAAAATAAAAACAAGACTACTCTCGTACATTGAAAGTTACACAAGAATAAAGTAAAAAGAAAATCACTACATGATATCGGTCCCATCGGTTACTTTCATTAGTAGCAACAAGAAGAAGGTAGAAAAATATTTACACGCGCTTATTACAAGAGGTACTCACAGTTTCTCTAAAATTGTAAAACTCTAAAAGCAACAATAAAGTAGAGAAAAAATTTCGATCAAGAAACATAAGAAGAACATTTCTACGCAAATTAAGAAACGATGTCGATCGATTTCACCGATTCTCTTCACTTGTAGAATAGTGCGTACTCGAGTTCCAACCTTTGGAAAGTACGAACGAGACGTCGAAAGGAACGCTTTCGATGAATTGAAAGATTGAAAAGTATACGGAGAAATATTTTCACGCGAGAACGCGCCGAATACTACTATTCTCCACCACCACAGGAATGTGAGAAAGAGATTCAAGGACAAGAGGTGCTCAATTGAAAGGTGTGCTTCAGGTGTGCTAGAAAGTCGAGAGATTGAATAACGTGAAAAGGAAAGTGGATGGTTGTAGCGAGATAGCCGCCGTACGAGCACACAGTCGTTCCCTTTTCGAGGCGGCTTACATAAGAGTAAAAGAACTTTCACGTTGTACTTCGTACGGCTTCTTGCTCGTTGAGGAGAAGAAGAAGAAGAAGAAGAAGAAGAAGAAGAAGAAGAAGAAGAAGA